ACGATTCTGTGATTCTGTGATCTATTTGAAGTCTAATCACTGTAAACACAGAGACCCAGCAAAAATACGAAGAGCAATGACAGGCAGAGGAACTTTAGTAACCTAATCAGTGAAAAAAGAGCACAGGGAATCTGCTACTCCCAGAGCTCACTCCAGGAGGACAGGTAGCTCATCATCCTTTTTAAGAAACGGAGAAACTTTCACCTGGATCCCTTGCACACAAAAGGGAATGGTAGCCTAAGGGTATTATGTGACTTATTATGGGATACCGGGCAGAGGGTTTGGAGATTTAATAGAACTTATTATGGGATGTTTTAAGACAATTGTGGCAATGTACAAGCCTTATCATGGGATGTTAAGGGATGAGAAAAAGGGCAGGATCAGGAAGAACTGAGGGGGGTACCCATGTGGGAAAGCAGATGGAAAAGGGGTTAAAAGGGGCCTGCTGCATGTACATTAAGGGGATGGTGAGTTCACTTGTCTGGCCATGCCTTATACCTGATCACCATAGTCGATTTTATCTCCATATTAAGCTCAATTTCAAACTTTTTTCCTAAGTGAGGGGTCTTCCTATTCTCTTTGTCTGTGAGTGTATAGAGGATTAAGTGCCAGCAGCTGGAGAAAAGACCGTGGATCATGAGGTCCTGGGCAACTGTGGTGCCAGCAGCTGGAAAGGGGAAACATGGGTTATATGGGCTCATGCGCTTGGGGTGCCATCAACTAGAGGTACCAGAATGAGTGCATATTGTGTGGGTATGGAGAGACCAAGGAATCTGAGAGTTGACTATTAGGGGGACCAGGAGGTCTATGCCAGCTACAGGAGAGATGGTTGAGTCTGGGGGTTGGGCTACTGGTAAGGCCATAAGTCTGAATCAGTTAAATGGCGAAGCACATATGCGTGTGTGTGTGTGCGCGTGTCTGTGACTGCGTGTGAGGCAACAGGGAGAGCAGGGGATCCAGGTGCCAGTTACTGCATAGACTGTATGTCAGAGGCCAGTTACTGGGAGGAACAGCAGTGTATGTATTCTGTTTGTGTGTGTAACTCTGAGTACCAGCAACTGGAATGGGGCTGCAAGCTTCATGGGCTTATATGTTCAGGTACCAGCAACTGGCAGATAGGGGGATCCAGGGGCCAGCTACTGGACAGACCTGAGTGTCCAGAGCCTGCTACTGGAGGGTCCACATTGTATATATGTATATATGCATATGTGCATATATGCATATATTTTTGACTGATGGGCTTTCATCTTCATCAGCCAGAGAGAGAAACAGGATCAAGTCACTTGTGCTGTTTGGGTTTGTGTAAGCACTGTGTTTTCTGAGTTAGTTGATCTGTGAGGTCAACCATGTGCATACTGTGTATTATGTGAGCACGCCTATTGGGAATACATGCTCAGCCACTCTACAAGCTAGTCCTGGGAATTCTAGCAATCAACTTCCATCAGCCAGATTTGGATGGGGAAAACCCAGGGGGAGGGAGGAGGAGAAGACTGCCACAGTCAGCTCTAGCAATTTGAACAGAGGAGTCCTTATGGGTCCCAAATCCCTCCAGATCTGAGAACTACTAAAAGTCAGGAGTAGACTCAGGCAGCACCAGTGCCGCAGCTGTTGCCCCAGAGCAGACAGAGACCAGCTGCAGCAGGCTGACACAGGGCCCAGCCAGAGACTCTGGTCAAGGGCTGAGCAGGAAACTGTGCATTACTCTGCCCATGCTGCTCAGGGTAGGTGGCTCTCTGGGCCACACTGAAGTTCTGAGGTGATGCTGAGCACCCACCAATCCCCCAGCCATGCCTGGGGCAGGGCTGGGTTTCCACCTCTCCTAATGTTTAACCTGAACTACGCAAGCTACCCTTTTGGCCATTATTATACTTTCTTTGATAGTTTTCTGTGCCTTTCTCAAGGTGGGGACTTTTTCCCAGGACAACTTGGCATGGCTTGTGCCTTTCAGAAACAGCTCCATCAACACATTTCTCTCCAGCCATGTCTAGGGAAGGTGCTGGCCCCTCTCCCCCTGCACTCCCTCTGTCCCAGCACTTCTTTATGCACCATGTAGGGCAGACTGGAAAACATCCCACCATGCTACTTGCCATCTTGCCAGCTCTCTCTTCCCTTTACAAGGCTTACAAGATCAAGAACAAATCCCTCTTGTCCTTCCTCTTCCACCTGTGTGCCCTCAGAGGCAACTCCCTCCCTCTTGATAGTCCCTTCCTCACAGGTTTCTCTCACCTAAAGAGCCCCGTTGGTCCAACAGCCCTTCCCCATGTGTGCTGTCCCTCTCTCCAGCCATGTCACCACGTGCTCCTGCACAGAAGTAGGTGGTTGTGCGAGCCACTGCCAGGACATGCAGCTGCAGGGAGACCTTGTTCTTGGCTTTGTCTGCAGAGATGGTGACTTAGGCTTGGAACCTATTTTAGATCCATTCCTCCTATGACTTGTAGCTATTCCCAGGGCCATGACAGACCCAGTATCTCACAGTGTCGCAAAGCAAAAACTATCCATACAATCTCCATTGATATTGCAGGTGAGTAGGAGATACACAGAAAACATCCTCTCCTTGTGACAAGATGCCATAATCTCATCTGAGAAAAACATCTGGAAACACACAGGTATGACTTGAGGGTTGGAAGAAAGAGTCCAACCCTGTCACAGTGTCTGTAGAGAGGGTGAATGAGCCCTGGACATTGCCACATCCCACCCCAGCCCCAATCTCCCTATGCAAGGTGAAGGTGCCACAAATAGACACACCGTGAACATACACTTATATGCTAGCAATAACTCTCACACTCTTGCATTCCCCTCCGGCAGGCATCAGTGCAGGAATAAGCACTACGCAGGACTTACCTGGAGACAGTGTCAATATCACAGCAAAGAAATCTCTCTGTATGGCCAGAAGTGCTGGTGTCTCAGAACAGACAGCAGGCAGCTGCAGCAGACTGGGAGAGGGTCCACCCAGGAGGATTGGGCAGTGTTGGGATGGGCTTGTGGGTGGCTCTCCCCATGCTGCTGCAGACTAACACTGCTGCAGATCCAGCATGTGACAGAGCAACTGTCCACCCTTGCTGTGCCCAGAGCCATGGTGGTTTTCCACTGCCCCATCAAAGATGCAACTCCTTTTAGAGTGGAGGATGGACAGGCAGTTTGGGAAGTTGGGGGCTACACAGTGAAGGAGCCATATACCCTCTTGTGGATCCTGCACCAGCTCCACAGCATCCCTGCACAGAGATGGCCTGAGGTGGAGGGCTGAAGGGTCCCTGTCTCTCCCAACCTCCTGAGATTGAAGGAGCACCAGGTTACCTTTGGGGAAAGCTGTGAATAGAGGTGAAGGCTCTGTGAGGCACTTCAGGATTGAGCTGCGCATGATTATTCATGCCTGCCATTTTACTTCTAACTGCTACTAAAATTGTCAAACTTTACTGTAAATTCAACTGCTCATGGATAGATTGGGAGCTCCAATCTCACTACTATTTCCCATAGTGAGTACAGGGGACTGTGATGCTGAAAAAGGGCCCTATCACCATAGCAGCTGTCGCAGGATGACCGACTACCTTACAGTCCTGGACTGTGTGGGTTTTGTGTGGCACAAGGGAGGGGAGGAGGGGGAGAAGGAGATTTACTGCATGATTCCACAACGTATTTTAAAGATCAAAATTCACTACACAAGTTAAAATGGTACAAAGCAACAATTCTTATTAACAGAAATTTAGCTCAACTAGAATACTTATTTTCTAGTTACACTAAGTTTTATGCTAATGGTAACTACTTAGTAAACAGTAAAGCTGGCTAATTTATACTAATTGTAATTACCCAAATGAATGAACTAGGCAAGCCAATTCTGGTTGATCTTACCCACTGTTGCTTCAGCGGCCAACGTACACTCAATCCCAGGGAAGTAACTGCAGGAGGGCGTCCCCATCCCCAAGGGGTTCTGCGAGCTGGCAGACCCACAAAGAGATCCACAAAGAGCCAAAGATGGCCTCCAGGGCCAACCTATTTATACCCTTCAGGGGAAGGTGGAGGTGGAGTCACTAGGCCAGTTGCAATTCTCTTCTCACAGTTGCAGTCCTTAGCTTTTGACTCCTGCAGGGTTCAATTCTCCTCTGTCATTGTTATGACAATTGCATCCACGGTCATGTGGGGTGGGGAGGCTGAACACCCTCAGTGGCAGGCTAGCTGCCTTAAGCACTCTTCAGCACTGAAGAAAGGCATTTGAGTGACTGTGAATGACTGCTTTACTCTTGCAATGGTGAAGAAGCAACTAATTCCAGTTCACAATGATTAACACTGCCCCAGCAATGAAAGCAGGTGTTGTCTCTCAGGATTCTGGCAAGGAGGAGATAATTCTAGTCCACAATAATTAACACTGCCCCAGCAGTGAGAGGAGGCTTTGTTTTTCAAGGTCCTGATGCTTAAGCACGCCTTATTATCTCAAAGTCTTGACGTTCTCCCCTTCAGAGTGTGAGGCACAGGAATGCAGACTGCTTGTTACTGGCACCAGATGGTTGAGGGGGGAGCTGGGAGCATCCCCCCACATTCCCACCCCTTGACTTCATCGACACCTTCCATACTGTATAGTTGTGGTGAGAACACCTCTTACTTACACAGGGATATAGACAGTTGTAACAGTGTCACTTTCTAGAGTTTAAGGTATGTGGCCTATTGATTTCAGGTGTACATATTTAATTTGTAATACTGAACATTCAATAGTAACAGTAGGCATATTCAATAGATAATCCAGTACGAAATCCCACAGTACCTAGATGCTTACGGTGTGAGTCTGTGGTGTCACTTCTCCTTTGCTGATTAGGTTTAATCAGCACTCATAGGGTCACTGGAGGGCTATGGCAGCCCCACTTGGTGCACCCAGGGTTCCTAAATTCTTGGGGAGCACCCCAGAGCAAACCCCTCTTCTATGGTCTGCACCATCCTGAGTCCCATGCTTGCCTGTGTGGCACCTATCAGCAGCCCTTCCACTATTTGTGCAATTCCTCCCTCCATTGGTGTCATTGTGTGTTGTCTGGCACAGAAGTAGGTAGCTGTGTCGGTGGCTGTCAGGGCATGCAGCTGCAGGGAGACCTTGTTCTTGGCTTTGTCTGCAGAAATAGTGACTCGGCCTTGGAAGGTCGGGGCATAGCCTGTGTTATTCCCAAAAGGATAGATCCAGCCTAGAAATTGTAGCTCTCCTCTTGGAGCCTGACGGATACAATTCCAGTCATAGCGACGGCTATCCAGAGGTGCTCCTGTTACAGTGCAGGTAAGTGGAAGTGATCCAGAGACCTTCCTCTCCTTGGGACCAGACGCCACCATATTTATGTTGGAAAGGGCACCTGGAAAGACAGTTGAGGTTTGAGGGGATATGGGAAAGCTCATGGGTGCAGTATTCATACCTGAACCAGGACTGCACCAGAACCGGCTAGGTTGTAGGCTACACAGGATCAGAAACCTTTAGCTTCCAGAGTTGTCCCTGGAGGCACTGGCTTGCCCAGGCACCACAGCCCCATATTTCTTTGTACTACCCAAAAGACTGCTGGGGCAGGAGACTCACTAGAGCAACTAGAGCAACTCTTATCTTTAAAGCTGAATACAGAGGCTTGGCAGGAGAGACATATGGAGTCCCTAGCTCCTATCAGCCCTCCTGCTGCCACCAACAGCTGCCTCTGGACCCATATACCCGTGCACAGAGAGCAAAGGGAGCAAGCTGGGCACAGACACATAGGGAAGTGGTTTGCAAGTTGCACACAAGCCCCTGAGGAAAAAGGTGCATTGGGCTCTCTCTACCTCCCTGGAAAATAGGAATTCCTGGAATATTCCAAGGCTGCTTAGAGTGGGACTCCGCACAGCTTCTTGGGGGCAGTTCTTGGCTTTGTCTGGGAATGTGCCCAGTCTAGTCCTCTCTCAGAAAAATCTCAGGAACCTCCCTCTTCTGTAGCCTCTTCTGCTGGCATTTAGAGTGGGGCAGTAGCAGGACAGGTGTGCAGGGGCAGCCAAAACCTACTCAGTCAAGCTCTCTATCCCTCTCCCCTCACCACTCTCACCTCCCAGCAGTGCTGCAAATGACAAGGCCAGGAGACAAGGCCCCATACTCTATGGGAGCATTTCCTCTTTGGGACGGCAAGGAGAAGAACTTCAAGGGAGGCAGAGAGTAGCAGAGCCCAGCTGGAAGGATCTTTGACCCTTGGCTGGCAATGCCTCTTGCTGGCTGTCCTCTTCCTTTGTGTCATCCCCCCTTTGGAGATGAAAGGCCTGAGGTGGATGGAGGGATGGAGGGATGGAGGGAGTCTCTAGCCTCTCTGGCACCATTGAACCACACCAGCAGTACTGGGAACACTACCCAAGGTACAAATCAGTCCCAATCCCTGCACAGGAGAGGCTGGGCTGAGCACACTGGGTCCGTCTCTGGTGCTCATTCACACTTCTTGTAGGGCCACAGTAAAGGTAAATGCAGAAGAATGTCGAGGAGATAGGCAGTGGAAGCTAGCCAGACCAATCCATGGGAAAAGAAGCATCTGCAGGGCATGCTGACCCATAGTCATGCGGCCAAGCCTATGCCAATGTGGTGCTACACCTGGGCTTTGAACTGAGATTCACGATGAGCTCATTATGCTTATAGCACATGTGTGTAGTCCATAAAAACTTCATATAGTGCCTCTGCCCCAGGGTTCCTTGCCATGGACCGATGCTCAGCAGTGTCAGGGACTCTCCTGCTCAATTATTGCCTTGATCAGGAAATCATTGGGAAGCCTCACTTAGACGCAGAGATAATAAACACTCAATATTGACCATAGTGTGACTTGTGTTTGTATAACTGTCCCTGCTGGGAGTCTGGGTGTTGCCTCTGCCTTACACAGTTCAAGGACACCCTGAAGCTGTGAAGGAACACAAGAGAGAGCTGAGGCCCTTCTGGGACTTGCCAGGCTTTGGCAGCCCTGGCTTGGCCAGCACTCCCAGAAAGAGAGGCCTCCCCTGCCCCACTCCCTCCACCCAAGCTGTACCCCTCCTTTTCCTTCTACTACACCTGCAAGAGTGTCCAGCTGTCTTTGAACCCTCTTTCCCATGGTGGTCCTGCCCGGCCCTTGCAAAGGGGAATCTGGGAACCCTGGGGTGGAAACTGGATAGGCTGGGAGAGGAGGAGAGCACAGTGTCAGATCTCTGTCCTCCAACCTCCATACATCCTGGAGGACAGCAGGAGAGGTCAAGGAAACTCTGGAAGGATATAGGTTCCAGACAGAGAATGTGGCCTTCGGAGCGAAGCACATAAAACCCACGCATGCCCATGTCCTCTCCCCAAAGCAATGATGGGATCTCACCTTTGAGGGCTACAGCAAAGGCGAAGACCAGCAGACAGAAGAGCAGCGCAGGTTTCTCCAGAGGAATTTGCATGGTGCGGGGTTGAGGGTGGCAAGGAGGAAGATTGTGGGGCTGAAGGGAGCTCAAACTTTCCTCACTTCAAATCAGCAGAGAAATGCCCTGTTCTTCCAATGTTGAAGGCTCAGACTTCCCTCCAACCCCAGGCAGACTCACAGCCTTTTCTGAGCAACTCCTTTGCAGTGAGGAGATGGATCCATACGTCACTGCTGGCCTGGGTGGGGAGGGGAAACCACATTTCCTTTTGAGTACTGCTCAGCCTGCACAGGAAGCACAGGGACCTCTGTTGTCTGTTAGGTGCTTCAGAATGCCACCAGATTGCCCAGGCCTGTAGGCTGGGGAGGGTCTGGGCATGCAGTTCTGGAAAATGGAGTCTCCATGGAGACAGAGCAAATCAGAATACAATTTCCCATTGGCCACCTTGTGCCTTGTGGCACATCTTACAGTCCCCTTTGCTGTGACCCCAAGCCCCCTTGTCCTATCAGGGCTTATCCAGTCTTATTTCAGTAAGTTCCAGAGCCCTCTGTCTGTCCTCAGGGGCCCTCAATTTTTGGAGCTCTAAACTTCATAATTCCTTTTTGGTGCACTCTGGAGCCCTCCATTTGAGTCTTTGGGGCTCTCCTAATGTCCTTGATGGGTGTTGCAGTGTGCCACACAGCCCTCTGCTTGCCCTGGCTTCCCCTGGTGGTTTTGGGTTCTTCCTTTGGTTGCACCCCAGAGCTCGTTATTTCTTCTCTTGCCAGGCAGGGAGCGCTGGCCAGGGCCGTGCCACAGTGGCGTCCCGCGGGGAGGAGGCCTGAGCACAGTCGCTCCCTGCATGGCCTCCACGAAGGCCGAAGCGGCAGCACTGCAGGCGGAACGTTACAGAGCACCATGGCCCGTGGCATGCCGGGAGATGTAGGCCACGCATCCTGGCTCCCAGCGGCCGTGTTGTGCCCCACGGCATGCTGGGAGGTGTAGTTCCACATACGGGTGCCCTTCAGGCCCACGGTGGCGGCCCAGCATGTGTCCCGTGGCAGACGCGGGCTGCTCACACGCGGAAGACCCTGTAGATTGCCGGGGGCAGCGAGGTTTCCCGTCTCTTGGGGGACCAGGCAGGGCTGTCGCTCAGGACCACCCGTCCCTGTTGGCAGTGGGGGGATGGGAGGCCGCCAGGTGCTGTGGGGACTCTCGTGGGCTGTGGGCACTGACTGGCAGAGGGGCCAGAGAGGCAGTGGCTGTGAGGGGCAGCAGTGCCCGGAGCAGGTGGTGCGGAGGTGTCCCAGTATGATGGCAGCACTAGGGAAATCCCCTGGGGAAATGAGAAGGGCAAGGTGGCTGTCCAGGGATGCTGAAGTCCCTGCATCTCGAGACTGCTCTGTTTGCCTTACAGTCCCATCAGAAGACCACTGATTGCCTTCACTGCACACCAGAGACCTTCATTCACCTTCTAGTCTTTTCAGGACCCTTCCCTTTGCCCTCTGATTCCCTTGGGACTCCTCTTTTGGCCTTCTGGTCACCTCAGGACACCTTCATTTGTGCTTGTTGCCTGCCTGCATCCTCTGTTTGCCTTCCTGGCCCCTCTGGAACTCTCTGTCTGCATTCTGGTGTGACCCAGCACCCCCCAGTTGTCCTCTGGTTCCCCCAGGACCCTTCCCTTTGCCCTCTGATCACCTAGGCCTTCTGACCCCTATGGGACCAAATATCTCATTAGTCACGTTACCTGAATAGCCATGATCCAGCTGGACACGATGGTTGAGAGAGAGAATTGGGGCTGAAGAGTTTCAAGAAGTATCCCCCCGATATGACTTTATTGTAGGTATAGGTTGTAAACCTCAGCCCTATCCCTCTCCAGGGAACACGTGGACTGAGGTCTGCAAAAGAGCAGCGTGTCCTTTCAGATGACAAGTCCCTAGAGCTTGGATTGCAGGTGATAACTTCCTTGTTGTGAGAAGCAGGTGACTAGAGTAGAAATGCAATGTTATCCTCTCTCATCATTCTACATACCAGCTGCCAGGTGACTTGAAGCAGAATGTTGCCAGTAGAACTGATTTTCCAAACACAAACTGCACAAATGGCAACTCCTTTGTGTGTTCCAGGTTGTGCTAGTTTCAGAGACAATCTCTGACTTGGAAGGTGACAGATGCAAAGCCTCCTAGCTGTTCACAGTACCCCTGGGCTGGAAACCATTGCTCTCGGTATGTGCCAGCCCTCTCTCAAGGTCCGATATGCCCTGCAGGAAATCTGCCCACCCCTCTTCCCAACTCATGTCCTTCAGCGTTAGCAGAAGTTCGCTTTGTTAGCAGTTTAAGATCAGTTTTCTGTTAAGTGGTGCCCTCGGGCAACTGAGAGCCTGGTACATGTTCCCCCTTGTTCAGGAGGCTGGAAGGCTCGCCATGTAACCAGGACAGGGAAATGGTGGCCTGTTTCAGCTAGGCTGAGCAGAAGCCACAAAACTCTGTTAGAACCTTACAGATGTATCTGATGTTAATGCCTGGGCAATGTTTTAAATCATATAAGTGGTAAGGTCTCCAGGGACCTGGTATGGGAGCAGAGGAAAGCGGCAAGAGACGCCACCCCCGCCACCCCCAGGGCTGGCATCGGGATTAGTGGTTTGTTAACAGCCGAGCAGCCCAGGGTTTCGCCTTGAAAGAGCCACAGCATTCCTACTTCTTGTCGTGCACTGCTGAGTGCGAGCAAACTCCTCCTGAGACTGCAGGGCTCACGCCCAGCCTGGCGGCAAGCAGGTGCTTCGGAACAAAACTGCCAAAGGGCAATGTTAACCCAGTCGGTCCGGCAAGGTGTTAATGAATTGCTGATCTCAGGAGTTGCCTCTCTCTCTCTCTCTC